TTACATGGTTTCAATGAATAAATAAGGAAAATACAGAGCAGATTTGAACTTTTCTTGGTAACTGATTCAGTTGATGAGGTTGAAACTGATTTACTAAACAAATCGTGAGAATGAGATCAATTACAAAAGAAAAAGAAGAAGGGAAATGCTAAGAAGATTATCCATCCAAAAGGGCAAAGGTAATTTTTCTTACCACTGAAGGACGAACTCCGCCAAGTGCAGTATACAGAGAGAGTTTTCCAACAGGAATCCCCATTCCCTGCAACATTTCAATAATGTTTGATCAATCGGGTCAACTATCCAATACACAACACACACAGAGGGAGAGAGCACCCGTAGCGAAAGAGGGGAGAGAGAACAGAGAACAACTCTGTCTTTCAATTAATTACTTGAATATTATTGCTTATCGCTGGATGTTAAAGTGAATAGAACCAAGCAGATTTACCTGGCAGCCAAGATCTCCAAGCCCTAATATACGCTCACCATCAGTTACAACAATAACTTGAATACTCTTCTCAGGCCAATTTTTCAGCACTTCAAGAATCTTCCCCCTGAAAAATTGGGCAACTTGAATAATCTTATTAGCTACCCAATCTAGCTTAAACTGATATGCAAAACATACTAAATCCCATACCCCCACCCCATCCTCCACTCCCAACCAAAATGAGCAAACATTGAATCCAACAAACTAAGAGGCTATAAAGCAGATTACAAATTGGTGGTCATACTTCTCTTTCAAGCTAATGTAAAGGCCCTGCGGACGGCGAAAAATGCTCCCATATTTCTGGCAAGCCTCTCCAACTGTTGGAGTATACACAACTGGAAGCAGTTCCTCAACATTATCAATGAGAAGCTTGTAAAATAGCCTCTCATTCCTCTCCTGAAGAATTTGACCCAAAAAAAATAAAAATTAGTCCCTAAAACATTAAAGCCTCAAACTGTCTGTTAGCATAACTTGTTAGGCTGTAAACTCATAATGGATTTTTGATCCATAATCAAATTAAATCCAATGCACAAAGAGAACATTTTGTGAATGTTTCATACTATTGCTATCATGCTAATAACAGCTATTGAATCAATCAGAGATTCACCACTGTCTCATAACATGTTTATCTAGTGCCATCTTATGCAAACATGTCTGAATCCTCAAAGGTTTGATAGAGTACATAGCTAATATACTAGAGCACTCCCATAATATAATCCACACTTGGATGGAATTCGTGCACCTACATATGTAAATTCCAAAATTAAATTGGTTATCACACACGTTGCCTGATAATGATTGCCAATAATAGTCAATCACATCACACCATGGAGAACCACCGGCCTAATTTTAGAGAAAAAGAGATTTATTGAATCACCAGAAGAATCTTTCTTACTAGTAAATGAAAAGAATATCATTTGTATATGGCTTGACATGGAGAAATAAATTTTGAAAAGCATCTGTTCAACCTTCATCTATCTCGTACACTGATTAATTTGGAGGTGGAAAAGTACCTGAAGATCCATCATGGCCATGTATCTTTGCAGCGGAACTTTATATTGGCGGAGATTATGCATCAGCTTTCTCTCCTATGTACGAAAATCATTAATGATGATAACAAACTGGTCTGATCTGGGTCAAATAAATACTATGAACTCAAAGGAAAGATCTATCAGGTAACCTGAAGTTCTTGGGAGAGGACAACTGGGGGCAGAAGCCCGCGCAAGTAAAGAGCATCTCTCTCTTTCTCGGTGAAGGCAAGCCCTTTGTTGTGGTGAGGGTCACGCAACAAGCTATACCCACTGCAATGTGAAGAAAGAATATTATAAATCAGCTGTCCAATAAACAATAAAACAAGTTCTATGACTTCAGGAGGTAGCTCGTTACCCAGAACATCAGTCAAGCAAGCAACTGGCCAATAATAATTTCAAAAACGCCAAAAATGATCAGTTTTTGACCACAGAGTGAAATTATGCAGCACATTTACTACCCTAAAACTTTTTGATTTTCTTGAGCTGAAGTCATATGTGCTTTTCTTCATCTTAAATTACGTAACCATCATCTAAAAGACAACACTTGGAAAAAAAATATAAGCAAAATTTCCATGAGAAGGTATAAATTATATTGGGCAGAAGCGGATGGCCTGCAGTTACAAATCTACCCGTAGCATACACTGGATCATAGGTTTTACTTTACAATCATGAAATTTGAGATCTAGGAAGAATAAGGTACGGCATTTTGTGTTTACTTTCATGAGGTTTAAGACCACAATTTTGCGAAATTTAAGAAGGGAATCCTCACTACTAATAACGATTACAAAAAAATGTACAAAAATCAAGATACATACTGTGTTGAGAGATACTCAAAAAACTGTTCCACAATTCACATAGAATTGTAGTGTTTGTTTTTCAGATTATATAGATTTGTATACATATGTGATAAATGAAGCAAATGCATTTAAGGTATCAATCTTCTTGCAGCGGAAGCAGTGTAGTGTCACAAGTTTATAGAAGCATTGCACATATGTGCAGGTCTGAAAACAAACGAAATCAAGAATACAGTTGAGTATCTAATAGTATCTGTTTGTATCCTGTTTTTGTATGTTCATGTAACCACAAATTCACACTAGAAAAGGGGCCTAGAAAAATTTTATTTCTCACGTAAACCTGATAAAAAACCGGCAAACAATATTGTAGAAAATTTTAAAGCCCATTCCATCATTTATATTTGCGTAACTGATATAGTATTCATAAAAGCATAAAATTTTGAAAATTTAAAAAAAAAATAGTGGAATAAGATTAAAAAAAAAAATGGAACCAGTTTATAGACTAGCACATCATCAAGAATATATCAGACTTTGCGAAATCAACACAGACCACATTAGTAATATGTAATTACTCAAAATAATGTAATTTAGATGTAATGATAAGGCTTCGAAAAGACAAACCATGTTGATAAGACACATCAATCTCCTCAAACACATCATACAACAATTTGATGAATATATCAATACAATTTAACTGAGATAAAAAACCACAACCCTCCCTTATCAACATGGTGCAAAATAAATCCTAAAATCCCATAATGAAGCTTTTAAATCATATGTATCACCTAAGAACAGAGTCCCTCCAGAAAACAACACAGTTATATAAAAGCATGTCAACTATCGAATCATCATAAAAAAAAAAAATAAATAAAGCCAACATAAATTCACATCAATATGCCCCAAAATGAGGACAAACATAACAAGATTAGGCATTAAATCATATCATACCTAGCAACAGAGACGGTCCAAGGGGTGACAGCCTGATCCTCAGTGACTCTATCCTCACCGTACATGTCCTCAACACCACCACCGACACCAGATTTATCATCCATATCAAGCACTGAATCACCATTGGTCATCTCCTTCAATGTGCTTTCCATCACAACACCTATTTTTCTCTCCCCTCGACCCAACTTTAAAACACCCAAAGCTTGTTTCTGCCAATGAGAGTAGCTGAAAAAACAAACCCAGAAAACAAAAAACACACAAAACACAAAACAGTTGTTGCGTTTGCTATGAAAAACACCAACACCCACCTTTTATAACCACAAATAAGCAATTAAATGCAATTCCTTTATTCCAATGTTTGACAAAAAATTACCCTTATTCAATGCCAAAAAGCAAAACTGCAATGACCCATCTAGAATGAATTAGAAAGTAAACTTTTGTGTGTACTTGTGCATATATGTGTGTGAACGATGGGAATAAAGTAAGTGGATTTGTGTCTGAAGGAACTGTAAAATAATAGTACCAGAAAATTGGGTCTGTTGAACGAGATCATCGTGAAAGGAACTTGTGGAGAAAGCGATTTATAATGCGTCCGCGTTACCGCGTATGTAGAGAGAGAAAGTAGGAGATTTCCTCGTTTTGGTGGAAGTGAGAGAAAGACTAAAGAAATGGCAGTTGATTGTTACCACATGAAGCTGTTGAAGGTTTCTTCCAAATTCTTTTATTTCTCTCTATTACCCATGTGTGTGATAGTGCGCGTGCAGCGTGTGCTTCTCTTTTTTCTCTCATTTATTTATTTTTTTTTGAATAAAAATTATAATTGATCCTTGAATTTATCTTCGGTTGTCAATTGTATCTATTAATTATCAATTTTGTCTTAATTAAGCTATTTTGTCAATTTTTATTGTCATATCAATTGGGACTAGCTCAATTTGATCTATTTCAGCGTTGATCTAACAACAGTGAAAATAGACAAAATAGTTTAATTGAAATTAAATTAATAATTAAAGAATTAAATTAAAATAATTAAAATTTTAAAAATTGACGGAGCATTATTTACCAAGTGAGTCCACCAGCACCACACCCAGTGAAAAAATTGACATATATCACCACAAGTATAACCAATTATAATGAGTATTTTGAGAAGCTTGTCTATGCATATCTTCTAAAGGGTCATCATGGATGGATTGCTAAGCAACTCTTTACTGATTATTGATAAATATGGGTGAAGTCCGAAGAAGAGGAGGCCTCACACATAGGGGTGTAATTTGAGTTGGGTAACCCGAATTTAACCCGAGCTCTACCCAAAAAAATACGGGCTTAGGTTAGAGTTTTTAAAACTTGGGTTGGACTTGGGTTGAAAAATGTTAACCCGAATTCAATTTGGGCGGGCTCGGGTTGACTCATCGGGTTATCAGGTTGAACCCGAATATTAAAATCGGGTCCAACCCGAGTTAATAATCGGGTTTAACCCGAATATTAAAAACCCTATATATACATTTTCCAATTTTAGGGTTAATTTGTGATTCTGTTCAGCCTCCCTCACTCGATCTCAGTCCGCCTCCCTCAGCTTCACTCGATCTCAGTCCGCCTCCCTCACTCGATCTCAGTCCGCCTCCCTCAGTCCCATTCTCAGATCTCCTCTCAGCCAGTTTTTCGCCTCCCTCAGTCCCACTCTCAGATCCCTTTCTCAGCTAGTCTCAGCCAGCCTCCTCTCTCTCTCAGACATTGTCAGCTCAATCGATTCTCCCTTCATCTCAATCGAAAAAAATCAAATCTACACTTGAAAAGAGATCTCATCTCAGGGCAGATCTATCGTCTACCGTCATCTCAGATCAGATCAGGTATGGTCGATATTTAGACTTCTTTTCACTTTCGATATTTTGTTCAGAGCTAATAAAACTAATCATGCTCGATAATAGAAAAAACTCTCAGTCTCAAATGCAATTTTTTCAAATTTTATTCAGAGCTAATCAATGTTCATTTTTCCGTTTTATCATTTTTCTAGTTCATTTTTCCATTTGATCATTTTGCTAATTGATCATTTTTCTGTTTCATTATGCTAGTTCAAATATTGAAAAGGTACATGTCACTAATGGGGGAGACGGAGACAAATACTGAATCTATGGCTAATCCTGCATCTGAGCCTGCTACTGGTAACCCTGATGAGGGGAACTCTGTAAGTCCCACCAAACGCCGAAAAACTTATGTTGAAAAATCTGATGTTTGGCTTGATTTCACAAAAATTAAAAAAGAAGATGGGTCAAAACCTGATGAAGTGCAATGCAACCATTGCAAAAAGAAGTTTCATTATGCTAGTTCACAAGGAACTAGTACAATTCGGCGACACTTATTCAAGTGTTCGAAATGTGAAAAGAATAAAGATGCTACTCAAAAATTGATTAAATTTTCATCTGCTAGTGGTCCTTCTAGAATATTAGTAATTGAAAATTTGAACAAGAATCTGTCCAGAAAGAAATTGCTCAAATGATAATTACTGATGAAATGCCTTTTAGTGTTGTGGAGAAAGAAGGTTTTAAAAAGGGTTCTTAATGCATTGCAACCAAGGTTTAATTTGGTGTCAAGAACTACGATCACCAAAGATTGCATCAATATTTATGAAACTGAAAGAAAAAAATTGAGATTTATCTTTGAATCCTCTGCATCATGTGTTTGTCTCACTACTGATTTATGGACTTCCATTCAAAACCTGGGGTATATTTGTCTCACCGCGCATTACATTGACAAAGAATGGATTTTACAAAAGAGAATCATCAACTTCCGTGTGCTTCCAACCCCGCATCGTGGTGAAATTATTGCACAATCTGTGGAGACTTGTTTATTGGGATGGAGGATTGATAAAGTGAATACATTGACTGTAGATAATGCAAGTTCTAATGATGTCGCAGCCACATCTTTGAAAAAGAGGTTGGTCAAACGCAATGGGTTGTTGTTAGATGGTAGTCTGCTTCATGTTAGGTGTTTTGGGCATGTTTTGAATTTAATTGTGAAGGATGGAATTGATGAAGTTAATAGTGTTATTGTTCGCATTCGTGATGGTGTGAAATATGTTAGGAGTTCCCCTTCCCGCTATCAACTGTTTAGGAAATGTGTGGATATTGAGAAGATTTCATACAAGAAATCTTTGTGTTTGGATGTCCCAACACGGTGGAACTCTACTTTTTATATGCTCGACACCGCTCTTGAGTACCAAAAAGCTTTTGACCGGTTGGAAGAGCAAGATAGAAGTTTCACACTTGAACTTAAGAATGGGACTCCTATTGATGATGATTGGTTGGCAGCAAAGAACTTGCATAAATTTTTGGAACAATTTTATCTTGTTACAAAGCGTGTGTCTGGGTCACAATATGTCACTGCTAACATTTATTTTCATGAAATGATGAGGATCCATGTATTATTACATAAATCTTTGAGTAGTGACAATGTATTCTTTCGTGAGATGTCAAGAAAAATGATGTTGAAATTTAAGAAGTATTGTGATCGTGACAAAATTAATCCATTGTTGCTTATTGCGGTAGTGTTGGATCCTTATTACAAGTTGACGTTTTTGAGATATAAACTTTCCAAAGTTTATACTTATGATGAGGTTGATGAGTTCATTGAAAAGGTGAAAGTTACGTTGGATAAATTGTATGAACACTACTCATCGGTTGAATTAGCTTCATTAAAGAATGTTGATGCGTCTCAAGAAGGCATTAATGTTGGAAAAGATATTTCAGAGGATCCAAATGTTGTACTTGATGATGATGTAGTGGATTGGGGTAAGTTCTTAGAAATTGAGCAAACCAAAGTCCTTAAATCGGAGTTAGAACGTTACTTGGACGATGCCGTTGAGTTTGGGAGTGGATCAAGACAGACTTTCGATATTTTGAAATGGTGGAAAGAAAAAGCCTCTTCATATCGTGTTCTTTCTCGCATGGCACGTGATATTTTTGCAATTCCTATATCAACCGTAGCTTCGGAGTCCGCTTTTAGCACGGGAAGTCGTGTGCTTGATCCATTTCGTAGTTCTTTAACTCTAAAGATTGTTGAGAGTTTGATTTGACCCAAGATTGGCTAAAGAGCTATTCATCCACCGTTAAAATGGAAGAAAAGCTAGAAGATATGGAAGAGATGGATAAAGGTATGTTTGTAACATATTGTCATATTCTATTTATATGATCTCTTTGTCTTTTTTAAACGTCTTGCACTTCTCTATTTTTCTAGTGTTCGTGGATGATAGTGCAAGTTCGAGTGTTGGAGAGTCATCTATTTTGCTTCATGGATGATAATGGCTATGCAGTGGTTGAAGTGGGCAGTGGTTGTGCTATGGTAGTAGTGGACTGGTAGCAATGACAGTTGTTGTGTCATTAGGCATTGGGCAGGGGCAGCTTTCCTTAATTCTGTTTGTGTTAAATGATTGTTTGTGTTTGTGTTTTGTTTAAATTGCAGTGTTTAAATTAAAGTGTCAGCAATTTGTATTCTGTTTAAATTATAGTAGCAGCAATTTGTGTTTTGTTTAAATAACACTGGCAGCAGTGGGCAGTGGCAGCCCCTTGCGCCGTTGTGCAAGGATTATGTTTATTTATGTTAAACTGTTGTGCAAGGATTCTAGTTATAGTTGCATTATTTCTCCATTGAGTTCTTAATATTATGATTTTAATGTTAAAAACTTGATTGAAGTAACCCAAATAAGCCCGTAAAGTAATCCGAAATTAACCCGAATTCAACCCGAGCCCGCCCGAATTAAACTTGGGCAGTGCTCGGATTGAGTTTTCCAACCCGAGGTAGGGTTAGGGTTAGGGTTAGGGTTAGGGTTAGGGTTAGGGTTAGGGTTGAAGATTTTATACCTAGAGTTGAGCTTGAGTTGATTATCCAATCCGTCCAAGTTGCACCCCTACTCACACACATACTTATATTATTTTTTTTAGTTGATACACTCGTCTATTTAGGTATTGATCACAAAATAATGATTTAGGCAACGGAGGGGCCTCTCTTGGCTCAACGTTGAGGGGCCCTCTAACATTTTTTTGTCTTGCAGCTCATGGATTAGACGATACTCAAAAAAAAAGGGCGCATCTCGACATATTTCAACTATTTGTGGATTTTTACCTGTACAAAAACTAAATTTAAATTAAATATTAAATTTAAGGACTAATTATAATTTTTTTTTCAATTTGCTAGTCGAAAGAGTGCATTCCGCTATATAGTTTTTTGACAATCTAATACACGAAACTCTTATTATTACACAGATTTGAGAGGTGTTACTAAATATATATTATTCAATCTTACATTGAGAAAATTTATTTTTCCTACTCGAATGTGTTACTTTGAGAATATAATGAGATAATCTAATGCACTAAACCTCCCACTCTTAAAGAGTATAAGATTAGTTTGCAACGACCAGTCACGTTTTTTTTATGGATATTTTTTGTTTAGGCCATTCATGATTCATGTATTGGTTTTAATTACATCTTAACTATAGGATAGGATGATACTAATTGTTTCAAATCTTTTAATAAATTAATGTCACATATGAAAATCTTTCAATTTTTTATTTTTTGGTGGGTTGAGGGTAAGTATC